ACTTTCTCATTGCGAAGATTGAAACCCTCGTTGATTTCCTCTCCATAATAAATATCTCCAATAAAGTCAATCCCAGAATAGTCCCAAAACGGTCCGAATGGATTACCTTCCTTTGCGTGACAACTCGACGGTAAACTCTTATTGTATATACTCGGATGAGCACTCCAACAGAACACTTAATATGAATTGATTACTGATTATGTGTATTGCTTTTGTTGTGAAATGATATCGTGAACGAATCGAGATACTGATGCAAAATGAGACCTTTTCTTCGGTTCAATGGCCAAATTCGGGGTGCGATTTGTTGAATGAAGTCTCTCATAAGAATTACTCGCAGTGAATCTTGCTTGAAAGGTTCCACTTGAAAATATTCATCATAATCAACCATTTTCTGCAATACCACACATAATCAATTTCGTTCAATACGATCGATCCCAACATATTACATATACAATTCCCATTGCAATGGGATTTTATGCAGCAATATTTTTATTACTTACAGCTTTCGGTTGTCCACGAATATACTCAATGAAAGGTGGTAATACCAGAGTTCGATTAAGCGCTCGTGCGAACGATATCGAGCCCAGCAATTGCTCTACTTGATTCCCAAAACGTCCCATACAAGGGCAATAAACCACATATCCTTTCGGATCAATCTCATAAGCACCAATCACTTCTGATGATGAGTAAATCAATAACGACAATAACAAATTTGTGAAAGACATCTGAAAAGTCATGTCTTGCATATATATCATTCGAGCTAATAACATGCTGATGCAGTGATTACCGAAGTGAATGCAATCAATCAATCAAAGAGTTCTAAGGGTCTTCGCGATAGCTCAGGTAGTAGAACTCCGACAAGTGTTCACTAGATTGTGAGTTCGAAATACAATCGCTAGTGATACTCTTGCTAAACACTCGAATGATTCCGATCAATTGATTTAGTCTAATTCAATGAACTAATTCAAAGGAGAACGCATTGACGAGATTCGGAATTTGAACTGAAATGATATAGAATTGAATAGTATTGTGTTGCTGATCGAATACACATCTCGGATCATCAATCTTTTATTTCATTATTACACGTATATTAACATTTATTCATGACATGACAATAACAAAATAAATTTGTTCAAATATCACATTGGATAATATCAAAAGGGTTACAATCTCAGCCAGAAGCACCGTTAAATAATACAAACAAATCCATAGTCGATACGATACGGCTTATTTGTGCAATCAAATACAACGGGAATGAATGATGTGTTGAATTGAATTCTGAGTGAACTCACAAAAGAATAAATAATAGAATGATTAAGAATAGAATTCCTGAGAGGATGAAAATTGCTTTCCATTGCCTTTTGTCTGAAATGGTA